ATAGCTTGATTTTGATTTACTGGAGCAGATTTGATACGTGCATCCATAAATTGATATACCTGTTAAAAGTTAATGATAAAAAATTTTTTATTTAAAAAAGTTAATGCCGTAAAATTTATCTTAAGCAATAATAATAATTTTAATCTTACTGCATGATATACTGCGCCTGTTCTATTGTTGTGTTTTTTGATTAATTCATTATAAATTGGAAAGTTTGGAATTGGTTTTTTATCTCTTTCGCTCATAGATGATGAACGATCCAAAACGAATATAATATGAAAAGCGGCTTCACGTGTACTTGGATTTTCACAATAAAAATGATGCCCATCTAAAGATATGTAGCCATAGTTATTTGGAGGATCTGAACTTGGATTAAGCGGAGCGTGGAAAAGGGATAATTCACAAAATGATTTAGTTGGAGAAGCGCTTGTAGATCCTGATTTATGATGCTTTTCGTCAGGACATTCATGATCGCATTTTGCAAATTCTTGTTGTTCTTGAGCGGAATAAGGATCTAAAAAAAAAAAAAAATACATCAATAAATTAATATATACTGAAGAAGCACGTGAAAAATTTTTCATATATACCTTTGAATCCCGTTCTCTCCCAAAACAATTTATGAGAAATGAAATCTTTTGGTTTATCAGGATTAGGATGTACTCTTTCTATAATAAAATAGTTAATTAATTAATATATAAATATAATTACATCAAAAATGAATTAAATTACCATTAAAATGTTGTATATCTTGTCCTTGGTTTAATAATGATTTACAATTTTCTTCATTCTGACAATAATCTATATGACGATGTCTTCCTAAATCTTTACAGTGCTAATATGGGAGATTAAAAAACACAATGCTTTTAACACTAATGACTTCGATAATAAAATGAGATGCTGTATCAACATACCAGGTTACAAAGAACAAATGTTCCTTGGTCACCAACTCTTAGCTTATGTCTAAAAATTAAAAGAAATTTTAATAATAATATTATATTAATAAATATTTCTATATATGTATATGCATACCCTGCATATTCAAATTCATTATCTTCTCCGGTAAATTCAGTTTGGGTCATGTTTCCGTGTGTTGTAGTATGAATTTGTGCATGTCCATAAGGTAATGTACACTAATTATAACACATTAATTCATTAATATATTAAAAAAAAAAAACAGGTAAATACATAAATATGTTTAAATACATACAAAATATTCACAGAATTGGCACTTTGCATCACAAAAATGAAAACTATCTTCTCCATGTGTATGCATTCCAGTATGTTTAAATTCGTTTGGAGGAATTTTTTTAATACATACTAATCTTTCATTTAATTGAATATACTATTTTATTAATGAAAAATACATTTATAGATTAGTAAAATTTTTATTTTTCTCACATAACTTCTATAAGAGATCATCATACCTTCGTAAATGTAATATTTGTAATTAATCCTTTATAAACTTCTTCTTGCTTCTTAGGTTCAATAATTACTTTACATATGCCATCCTCTTCACATAATTCACGACATTTATGTTCATTCCTTAAAAATAATGTGTTTTTAAATCATTAAATTCATTCCAAATAATAAATAAATCAAATAAAATCAAATAACAAAATAGTATCATAATACATACCCACAAAAATGATCTACTTGCAAATTAGAGTAAGAGTGAAAATGATCATTATTTTGACATTTATTCTGGCAATCTAATATTGGACACTGGATTGGACAAGTTTCATTTTCACAGCGATGTGAATCATGTTCTTCTTCATATGGTATAATACATTTATTAGGACAATCATAGTCTCCTTTCTGAGTTTTGGTTGATAGCGAACAAGCTTCTCCACAATAATGTCGAGTTGATTGACATAAATGTTGCTGTTCTTCATGTCCAATTTCCTTTGAACAAACTTTCTGGCAATTACGTTTATCGATAAGGTTACAAGGCTTACCACACAAATGATTTATTTCATCACAAGCGTGTTTTCCTTCATGTCCAGCTTTATGGCTACACGTTGGAATTGATTTGTTGTTGTGAGCTTCAGAGAAATGGCATTTCAAATGACATTTATGGTCCGTTAAACAATCATGATTTTCTTCGTGATCACGATTCTTGACGCACTTTAAACCACACTGATGACATGTCAATCCACATAATGTCCATAAAAGCGTAAGTTTGCCGATTTCTTGTTCCATTGAATAATTTCCATTAACAATATCACTATTGTCTTGTGAAAACTTGGAAGTATTTTGCATATACCAATCTTGAACGCGTGAAACACGGCGTTCAATAATATATTTAAAGAACCTATTGAAGTTGGCGAACCATGTGAGATCGTCAATTCGTGATTGTACATGATCTTCAAAGTAATTTCTTAAATATTCAGAAAGTCGGACAAAGGATTCGTTTTCATCGTATAATTGGAGATCAGAATCCGGTAATATTGTCTTAGAAGATTCGAAATCATGTAAAATCTCAGATAAGCTGACTACCGAGTCAGCAATTGGTTTACCTATATCACGATTCTATTGAAATGTATGAAATAAAATCATTAATGATTCGTCAAACTATATAAGCCAGAATATAAATAAATAAATTTCTTTTATGATACCATAAGTGGTTCATTAGCGGAAGAATCTTTTTGTTCCAAACCATAGGAAATCACAGTTGGGAGTAATCTTTTTAAAGTTGCAACACGAATCTGTATGAGGTTTACATCCAACGAACCCCAATCACATATCTAATGCAAATCGATTACTTATTTAATTGAAAATAATTTAGATAGATAGATAGACGAGATAAACAGGTGTACAAACCTTCAATTTAGTCATAATTACTTTTGTATTTTGTAGAAAAGTTCGTGCATTCTCATATTTTGCTTCCTGCTTGTCTAACTTCTTATTAACAATAGATAATGTCTTAAACCATGCAGCATCGTTAAACATTGGCCAGGGAATAATATCTAATCCTCCCTTGTACATTCTCGAAATAAAGTTATCTTCTCCTTCCTAAAAATAATAAAATTAATACCTTAACAGATAAATATTTAAAAGTGACGGTAAAAATACTACCGCTGAAACTAATTGAGAAAATTTTGACTTAAATTCTCTAACAATATCTTCTTTGTCAGCCTTAGACACGTCTTTTATGATAATACAAAGTTTTGCCTAAATAACAAAATATATTAATAAACAAATTTTATTATACTATAAGTAAAAGTTGTGAAATTGACTCATGCCTGAAAAATTTTTGGATCTGATTCAAATAACATTGCACCATCTTGAAATTTTTGAAACATCAAAGACATATCTCTGTTTACTGCAAATTGGTTCTGTTTTAATTAAGAACATTTTGCAATAGTAAATAGATGAGAAATGAAATAAAGATAACAAGATAAATAAAATTTACCTTAAAGAGTATGAGACTTGATACGACTGTATTAAAAAGTGTTAAAAACAAATCTAATGTATATATTTATTAATTAGTATACAGCTATCTAAACTGAGAAATATAATTATATATATAATTGTAAATTTACCTTCTTGAGAACTTCTTTCAAGAGAATTTAAACCTTCAAAATCGAGTGCGACATAAATAAATTTCTTGGTATTTACTATAAGAAAATAGGAAAAAAGGCATTAGAGAAAGCCAATTTAATTTTTATGGTACCAAGAATATTAAAAAGTTTATTTACCAAGCGACATCCATACACCCTCGGTGCAACGCTGAAATGAATATTAATTTAATAATTTATTTTACAAAGATAATTAGGTAAAGATGTTAAAGAATTAATATTTACCATTGCGGAGCCGTCAAAGGTAGTTCCAACAAGATGATTCAACATGAATGATTTTCCGCAAGACTGTTCACCCATACTAGAAACAACTTTCACTTTTTTATCGCCAAAATGCCTGAAAATTCCTTCATACCATCCAAAAGAAATGTTTTTTGCTATGCTTTCGACATGATGACTATAGCCATCATCAAATTTCAAAATCATTTGAAGATAATCCATCCTTGAGAGGTTGAAATACATTATCTTTTGCTACAGCGATTTGTATAGGAATTAAACAACAAAGTTGAATGATCCATTCTCCCAATTCATATTCCGATGAATACTTTTGAATACTTTCAATATTAAGTTCTTGGAAAGGAATAATTGATGTAGAGAATTTTTTTAGCATTGTTGTGGGCTTTTTTGTAGATCGTTTTAAATCTTCAAAGGTTTCAGAAATGTAATCCTTAAATTTCTCGCCATATTTTTCGATTTCTTCATCGACAACTTCAATATCAAGAACGATTTTTAAACTAAGAGGACGATTTTGTTCAGGATCGATACAGCTTTCAACTGGATACTTCTCAAACATTAATTTATAGGCATCAATAAGTCCATTTAATTTTGTCTTCGGTTCAATACGAAATTCCATCCAATTATCAAATCCATCTATAGGTTTGATATTATAAATTTTTAATTTTGTGTTAGAAACAACTTCAGTCACACTAAATTTCTCTCCCATTACTACAATAAATTCTCCATTTTGAACAATTTTTTCAAACTCTGTATTTTTTCCTTCAATAATGGTATAATTAACATTTCTGTGAGAAGAATTCATTAATTTTACAAGCCCAAGTGACTTTTTTTGCATTCGTTCTTGGAAACGATATTGAGTTTTTTCAAGGGTGATTTTAACTATTACGGAATGGAAATATCCATTTTTTAAATCAAGCGATATCAAATGAGTTTGTAGATTATTTATACATGTAAATTGCAAGAATTCCAAAGATTGAAAATTTGTCGGTAAATCAATAACTAAAAAAAAAAAAATTTTTTTTAAAGCATTAAATCTTATATAAGTAAAAAAGACATAATAGATCGTTAGTTACCTTTAACAGGACCCCCAAAATTTGAACAAAAATAAACATAAGCACGGTATATTTCTTTGCTTTCGTTTTTAATACAATTATTTTGCTCTTCTTTGTTATCAGCTGAAATAACCGGATCATTATCACTTTTGTCCATATCATCAGTAATATGTTCATTTTCGTTGCCATCTTCGCTTCCCGCGGGGTTATCAGCTGAAATAACCGAAATATTATTATTTTTTTCCATATAATCAGTAATATGTTCATTTTCGTTGTCATCTTCACTTCTTGTGGTTTTATCAATGGGGTTAACCTCTACTAAATTTTCTTTAACGAATGCTACAATACATGAGCCATCAGGTGAGCTTAAAACATTTGCGGTATTGGTTGGAAGATTACAAACTGCTGGTCGAAATTGCAAGTTTATAAGATTAAAAATACGTGTTCGGCCACCTTTCTCAACAAAGCAAAGTTCCTCGGTATCTTTGATAAAAAAGAAATGATGAAGAATTGGAACCATATTATTATACCATTGTAATAACTGTATATTTGAATTTCGTGTAAGTAAATTTGCTTGACCATCATGAAAAGAAGATACATTTAACTATTAGAATAAAATAAATATTTTTAGATTTATGGAAATTAAGGAAGTTACAAATAATCAAACATTTTCATACATACCGTAGCTTTTTTTGTATTATAGATAGCAATTAATTCTTTTGGCTCATTAATTGCAATAATAAAATGTTCATCCGAAAAAAGCGTTTTAAATGGCTTAATCATATACGATGCTTTGAAACTTTGTGCTAATCGCTGAGCCGTATCAAAAAATATTTCGATTTTTTCCATCTTTTTATTGTAAAGCACAAGGAATTTGCGGTTACCAAATTGAGATATTTTTCTATGATGTAAATTATACATATATGTAAGTCATCGAAAAAAGAAGCGAAGATTTATAAAAATATTAATAATTGCCTGAAATCGTAAATTGCAGGATCAATCTGGAAAGTGAAGCCACATTGATATTGTAATGTTAGATTTGGAATGTGAAGCCCATTATCTTGAAGTTGAAAGGTATCTGCTTCATCTAATGAAGTTTCGTAAATAGTTATCTGCAACTGATTTGGCTGCGTTGTTTCAATTTCATGTTGGAATCGTAATCGATTAGGATAATTAGAATCTGACCAAAAAAATATTCACGATGTTAAAAATATTATTATTAATCATTTTAATTAAATTGCGAATAATTGTTCTATCACCTGTTACTATATTTAGTATATTCAACTGCATAAGTCTAGAAGATTTTTATTGTTAATATTAACGTATTAATAAATCAATGTTAATAATTAATTAAAACTTACCCATTTTGATATTTTTCTTCTATTACATTACAAATTCTTTCAAATTCATGAGTTTCAATTTCTAGTTTCTCTTGCTCAAATTCTTCATTTAACTTTTCTGTTAATTCAGAAACTTTTGGCAGAATTTCTTTAATGTTATTGGGAAAAGTGATATTTCTCCATTTTTTGTATTCTTCAAAGAAAGCTTCTATGACATTTTTTTTGATCTCATCAAATTCTCCAAAAAATGCTGTAATATTAAGGTCTTGTACAAATTGTTTATCTAACATATTTTTGGATATTTTAATCGAATCGTCGATTGCGCGATTAATTTTTGTAGAATTGAAAGACTTAACGATAAGATCCCAAATAATAGTTGGTAATTTATACCAAGGTTGTTGTTTTTCAGTATACTTTTTTACTAATTTATGTGCATCAGTTTCTGAATCCTTGAACATATTTTTAAAAATCTCTATTGTAGATTCTGCAATTTCTTCACTGTTTTCTCCAGCCGATTCTATTATTTTCTTAATTATTATCGTAGTTAAAATGTATCTTCTTTTTAATGGTTGCCAAGCTTTGGAATTGATTTTAATTTTTTCATTAATTTGACTTTCTATGTCAGGATATTTATCATGAATCCTTTCTAAATCTAAATTAATAAATAAGAAATTGATTAGATAACAATATTAATAAATAATCTCCAAGTATTTTAAATTTGTACAATATACTTTACCCTCATCACTTATATTTGTCTGAAAGAAGGAATTTTCGTCAATAAACTCTTCAAAAGAACTATAATAAAATTAATTTATTACATTTTTTTTTTTAAAAAATAAAAAAAGGATCAAATAAAATACCTGTAACAATCATATAATCTCTTTTGTGCTAAATTTGTAATGAGTTCAATATCTTTACTTGTAGCACTCTTTTCTTGATTTTTCTTTTTTTCACTTTTCAACCTTGCAGCTTCTATTGCTTCATGTAATGGCCCCAAAAGTTTATCTTCCATATCTAATCCGTGTTTAATCAAAATCTCTAAAGATTTCATGCTCATTTTTTCACGATTAATTTGTAAACGTCGTCCTTGCAGTATAGTCTGAAGTTCTCGTGAAAATTCATTTGTAGAAAGAAATAAAGTGTTTGGGCGTAATTGAAAAGTCGACTTTATTAATTGTCTGGTAACGAACGATTGGTTTTTAGCTGATTCAACAACTAAATCAATAATGGATTGAATATAAGTTAATAATTCACTTTATAAAATTTAAAAATACAAATTATTACCAATGGGATGTAAAGGTATATCATCTTGAACATTATTATTTATTTCAGCTTTTATTTTTTCAGACAAATCCACCTTAAGAATTAAAAATTAAGTTATTTTACATATATATATTACATAAAGTAATTTAATAAAAACCTTGAAACCGGGATAGATTATGAAGTTTTCCTGTTCTTCCTGGCTTTTCTTAACTTCAAACTCGAAACGAGATTCATCATCTTCATCTTCTGAATCAATATCAGAATTGTCTAATTTCCAATCGAAACTTTCCAGGTCTTCATCGCTCATAAGACAAAGCTGATGGTCAGTAAGCTTTGTCAAATATCTATAGGATTTGATAGAATGATAATTAAATTGATTTTCGATTTAATACAGGCTAAATAAAAAAAATATACCTATGTAGATTAGTCATATTCTTTTTACGTTGCGAAGAAGCATTTTCCTCATAACATCCAATTTCAGGCCAATGAATAACTAAACCCAAATCTGCATTCACAACGAACAAATAAATACCAGGACGTAAAGAAGGCTTATTTGTGTTGTTCACAGAAGATTGCGAGGCTATAAGCAAATCACGTCTAAATAAAAAGAGAATATAAGTAATATAAGTTTAATTATGGTTATAGGAATTGAATAATTATTTCATGATATAAATTGATATAAATTACATACATTCGTTGATCGATAATATTTTTCTCGAACAAAAGTTTTACGATTAAATTGTGAATTCCGTAACACCCAACAAGTCGAAACGAAATTGAATTCAGTTTCGTATAATTAATTTCAGAAATAGACTTGAAACTTAACGGAACCATATCGTTGCATAGTTTCTTTAAAGAATCCTTTGAAATAATTATTTTATCCACTAAAGGAATTATAAAATATATCAAGTGTTGAAGATTAATCCTTTAATAAATTATTCAAATACAATTTCACAAATAATGTAAGTAAAGAAACATACCAAGTCCATTCGAACCATCATCTTTGTATAAGTCTAACAACCGATACATACCAGGAATATATTCAGCCAAATCTTTGCCATTTTCAATTGAATCAATCGAATAATATTTGTGATTTTTAAGAACTTTACGAATATTTTTTTTGGGATCAACCTTGTCAAGGTCATTTCCCAAATTCGGTTTTTTTCGGAAAGCAATTGTAGAATCATCGGATTGGGATTGAGTAGATTTGCTTTTCTCTCTGTTTTTTTCTTGAGATTCTTTGGACAACGTTTCAACTTGAGGGTTAGAATCAGTACCATCACTTTGTTGGCCGTGTCGCGAATAATCCCCGGAAAATAAGTTCGTGTTCATAATTTGACTAAAATCACTAGTAAGTAAATTATCGGAAGGCTCATCATCTTGAGTTTGGACCGAAAGCCTAAAAGTTATTTGTTCTTCCGAACTTTGCATGTTGTCAGCACTAAAGGAGTCCGTATTCGTGATGATACCTTGCTGAACTAAGTTAATTGGTGGTTGTTCGTTTGCGATGCCATCATTTAATAGTGGCGGAGAAGGAATTTCATTTCCACCTTGAACAATTGAAGGATCGTTAGGTTGCATCCTGGTTGTCTGCTGCGCAAAAGGAGTCTCTGCCGGCGCCATCGATGGATTGATAAGAATGGTTGAATCATTTGTTTCCTCTAAAATAATAATAATAATAATAAGGAAAGAAAAGACAAAATTAGTGATTTATATATTATATGCATCAAAATAATTCTTTCCTATCCACAACATTGAATTAATAAAATCAATTCAATATATGGATGGATTAACGCTTCTGTGCCAATTATCAATTGTTCTTTGATTAGTTAACAAGTTGTCATGGTAGGCCGCAGTTTATCATGTTATGGAAAATTTTTAACGCGTTAATATTCCGAAATTGATTAATATCTTACCAAAATTATCGGGAACTTGGGTATTATTATGATTTTTCATGATGTAACCGACTAATTATAACGTTTGATGGTTGACCTTGTTTATATATCGAAAATTTTTTTCATTTTTGTCCCGCAGAATGAATTAAACAATATCAACAATAGATTCTATAAAGGTCAATGTTTTAAATGATAATAATTTAAAATAAGAAAGGCGACATCCGGAAAACTTCTATTTGTGGTTCAATTTTGGTTGATGCACCAACGAAAAGGCTGATGCATGTGATGCAAACTTGAAAATTGGATTTTGATTAGCAGTAGTTAAATGGTAATTGTTTCCAGGGATAGAAATTTTATGTTGTAATGGTATCTCCTTAATCAACCCTAATTTGAACTTATTGATGACAAGGTTTCTTTATGCATAAGCATAATAAAAATTTCATTTGTTCAAGGTTACAAAATACCAAATCAAGTTTAATTATTCTATTTTTCATTTGGTGAAATAATACATGAAGATTGTAACCCGAGAACTTCTCTATCTCGCATAAGTAATTTTATTCGTACCTAACAAAATTGCCGGAAATAGAATCAATTAACGACATATTCGTATTAGTCAATTCATATAGTCTAAATAAGTCTGTACATTGAGGATTTTTAATTTATCGTTCGATGCATAGATAATGATCTTTAAATATTCTATCTAAATAATTTTACGCGTTTATTTCGTATCGTAAATTTATCCAATAAAAATTTGGCGTATGGCGCGATTAACACAACACGATTTTTGTTATTTTTATTTCTTAAATCTCTGCCGGCTGACAAATTCCGGATTAGTCGTAAAATAATAATTATAATAAAATTAAATTATAATAAAATTAATAAAATTAAACTAAATAAAATTTATCCAAATTTAGAATTATTAAACTAGTGAATTAAAATAAAATATAATTAATATTAAGTTGTCGAAAATATTCTAACCACTTGAAACACTTCATAATCATCGACAGAAAAGTAATCTTCACTTTCTCTGATTTTATATTCATAACTTGTCTTTACACATCTACAATAACGTTCTTCATTGAAATTTCCCCATAATTGTAAATCTGTTTCGGATCCACCAAAACTAGGACCCGAATCTGCACAATTATAAAAAGCGCAATTAGGGTCTTTTACCCTAGAACATCTAGCATTATTCAAATTATCTTTATCAAATGAAAATAAAAAACTTCTAGTAGAATAACTGAAATCTTCTAAAGACGCATCCCAATTCATTGGGGTATACCCCCCAAGAAGTTCTCCTGTACCTTTAACTCGTAAAATGGTTACGGTTGGTCCTTTATTATCACATAATTTATGAAACGCTTCCGCCGTAAATCCGTCCCTTGTACCACGTAAAAGCAATCTAAATTCAAAATGTGATTGCATTTGCGGATCGTTAATCATCCATCCAGAGATCAATGAGGCATGCTTCGCTGTAATTAGAGTTGAATCAATATCACATGTTCCTATTCCTGATGATAATGATTCTACCCCAATTTCTTGATTAAAAGGTCGAACTTTTTCAAAGAAATCATCCTGACTTATTAGCGAAAATTTAATACAATTAACGAATGGTTGTACTATGTTTCGAAACGTTGAAAAATGATCGGATGTCCACGTCTTAATATCATGTGAGAGTAAAGGATCTTGTGCAATTCCCCATTCAACTATTTTATTCCATAAATCAATTTCTTTCATAATAAGATTACTGGCTTTAAGTATAAATAATAATGTATTTTGATCTATCGTAATAAAATCTTTGGCCTCAAAAAATATCGCAGGATCTTGATTAATCGTATTAAGACAAAAGGTTTGTAATTCTGTAAAATGATCATATTCGGTAACAAACCGATGAATTAAAACGAGATTTGTTAATATTAATTCCGGGTTATACAAAAGAAATTCTTGAATACGTTCAACTAGTTCATTTATGCATAATTCATCAGCTGCCTTCAAAATTTCAAGTATAATTTTCACATTAACTTTTGGGAGTGAAACTGATGCACCATAAATATATTCTAAAATAATTTCGAATACGTTCGGAGAAATATTTGGTTTCTGAAAGATTAAATAATTTCCTTTTGTCCTTGCCCATGTGTTTGATAATGCATTACGAAAGTAAACTGATCTTGTTCGTAAAATAAGTGAATGTACTCGAAATTCTCTGATAAAAGGTTCTTGACCAGCTTGAATTATTACATCTGAATATTCTCCCGTATCAAGAAGTGAAATAAAATCGCGAGATAATAAATCAAAAGTTTCCAATGACATTATATACATATATATATATATATATAAAGGAAAGGTAAATTACAAAGAAAAAAAATTTTTTTTAAATAATCAGAAAGAAAGATAAAATAAAAAACATGAGAAAAAGCTGCAACATTTTATTTGTTTGTAATTAACCGCTTTGATTGTTTACCTTTAAAAGAAAACGTGTGACATTATTAGTAAATTCAGTCGTTCCTTTTATGGTGATGATCTGGTTTTTGAAATTTCTTATCGAACTTTATCTTTTATTGCTTCGCCACAATCAATTATCAAATCATTGATAAAAAGAAATCGAATGCAAAATTTTTATTTTTAATAAAAATGGCAGCACAACTTTACAAAACTACTTCAGGACGTTTATTTCATGCTGGACAAATAGCAATCATTACTGTAGGGTAAGTTCATTAATAATAAATTATTTTCGCCCCCCGAATAGATCTAATTTTTATTTTTTTATTTCAAGTTTACCAGCAAGAGGGAAAACGCACGTGGCGCGTTCATTATGTAGATATCTTCGATGGTTAGGTGTTCATACAAAAGTTTTTAGTGTAGGGAATTATCGTCGTCAAGCTATGGGAACTGCTGCAAGTTTACCTCATGATTTTTTCAATCCTGGTAGGTAAGTCTCGTTCTCGCAATTAATATATTGAATTATTTTTAATTACATTAATATTAATATAGAAAATCATGAGACTGCTGAGGCACGGCACAAAATTGCAACGGAATGTTTACAAGATATGATTATATGGTTACAGGAAGGAGGACAGGTTGGCATTTATGACGCCAGTAACACAACTCAAGATAGACGTAAAGAAATACATGACACCTTAATTAGTCACAACGTTCACGTGAGTAAATTCTAATTTTAACTTGTTTTCCCTTCTATTATTTAAATAAGAAATAATTCCATTTTATAGCCCGTCTTTATTGAATCAATATGTGATAAACCCGAAATCATAGAAACTAATATACGAAGCGTCAAAATCACTTCACCAGATGTATGATTAGATTTTCTTTTCTTTATTTGCATTTATAACATGTTAATAAGATTGGAGAATCAAACTATATTGTAACGAAAAAAGAAAAATTAAAGGATCCATTCATTTTCCTTAGTATATTGGCTGGGATCCTGAAGAAGCCGTAAAAGATTATTGGGTTAGTGACCTTTCTCAATTTAATTTGTATATAATATCTTTTACTAAAGGTTATTTATAAATTGTACGAATTTAGTCGCGTATAAATAATCATTTGAGTCATTACGAAACGATCACAACTATGGAATTAAATTTTGTAAAAATGATTAACGTTGGTGAACGCATAATTGTAAATAACGTAAAGGGATATCTTCAGGTTTGCATGCATTTATCATATGATGTAATGAATTTTATAAAACCCTCTTATTTAATTCATTTTTTTTTTTTTTAAATTTAGAGTCGTATCGTATACTATTTAATGAATTTACACATTTCCCCAAGGATTATATATTTTGCTAGAGTACGGTGATGGCATATGATGATTGGGTTAATATTGATCAATTATTTCTGACATTGTTTTGTATCAATTAGTCAGGAGAATCAATGAATGAAGTATCCCAAAGAGCCGACGCGGAATTAAGTCCCACCGGAATACGTTATGCTCAAACATTAAAAAGATTTTTGAAGACTTTAAGGGAGAGAGAGAGAAAAGAACGTAAAGAGCAAGGATGGGGTGACGATGAAAGAATGTTAACGGTGCGTTACTATAATTTTTTTTCATCATATAGGACGTGAAGGAATTAGAATTTTTTTTTATGAAAATTTTATTTTAAAGATCTGGACTTCAGCGCTTAGACGTTCATATCAAACGGCAAAACCTTTTCTTGATGAAGGTTATACCGTACAACAACGTCCATTGTTGGGTGAAATTAATTTAGGTGAAGTCGATTCGCTTACTGTTGAAGAGATTAAGGTAAAAATTAAAAAAAAGGCATAAATTAGGATGATCATAAATTCACGTTATTAATAACAGATTTTCTATATAGGCCAAATTTCCCGAAGAATATGTAAAACAACAAAAGGATCCATATCATCATCGTTACCCTAGAGCTGAGGTGAGTATTGAAATGAACTTTAATAAAAATCATGACTTTCGAACTTATCGGACTTTGATATTTAATAGTCATATCAAGACTTGGCAGTTCGTATAGAGTCCATTATTCTGGAACTTGAACACGAAAAAAACGATGTGCTAATTATTGCTAACGAGACAGTATTAAGATGCCTATACGCGTACCTTTTTGATCGGCCAGAAGATGTAATATATGAATTTCAAATTATTTAAATTATTTGTTAAGTTCTTTCCTCGATTTTAACTTATTATTCTTATTTTAGGAAATTCCAAGGATAGCTATTCCACGTAATTATTTAATTGAGATAATTCCTTCTGCTTATGGATGTCGTGAAACTCGCATGGAAATCGTTGACACCTTTGATCAATCGATACCTATATTAGCTGATTTGAGTAATAGTGGAAAAGGTTAAATTCACAATATCGGAAAAAAAAAAAAAAGTATTTTATTGTTATATTGTTAGGAAGTTATTAATGTATATATTCTAATACTATAATAATCATCATAAATTATAGAATTTAACCATTAAAGTTATTGTATATTTATCATTTACATTAGAAAAGATTAATGACAGAGGTCTTAGCAAACTCGGTCCTTGTTAAAATGTCGGTTAAAAGTATAAACACAAATTTTAAAATAGTAATATCTTGTGATGATTTGTGATTATGACATATCCTTATTTTATTAAATCTTTTAAAGCTCAATTGTATAACCACCAATTACGTCATTTATACCAACCAACTTACCATCCAAAATTTGATATTTAATAATTATTAAAAATAAATAACATTATATTATAATACAATCCCTTTAAATTTAACTATAAGTTTGATAATAGATTTAAAATTTTTTATCATCAGACTTATAAATTATAAACTTTCGTTCAATTTAACTATTGTTTTTTAATTACGAAAATTCTTCACAAGTTATCACAATTATTATTAAAAAAAGATTTAATCTCTCAATAAGTTATTTTAGTATAAAAAATAAATATCATTATTTTAATTAAAAATATATTTTTTTAATTATCATAATTATTAAAAAACTATTTTTTGATTTAAAAATCATTCTAATAATTCCTATTTAATCTTTATATTCATTAAAATTTAATAATTAAATTTATTTTTTTTATATTTAGTTAACTTTTTCTAATTATATCCTCTTAAGATTATAGTGAAAATTTTACAAAATATACATTTAAAAAAGAAAATTCCTATAAAAAAAATGTTGACTATACTACTTTTATTAATATAAATATACTTTAAACAATTATTAGAAAAACTTTATAATATTTAAATTGTAATTAATTAAATTAAATAATATATATACAGTATATTAAGGAGCTTACATATACAGTATAACATAATTATTGAAGGTCTCAAATATCTCACCTTTAGGATTAACCAATCAGAATAAAGATGCAGATCATATAATTTATATGACATATTTAAAAGAACTTGTATAAGAATAATCTAACAAATCTGATATTATCTTAAAAATAAAAAAATAAATTTCATCAATATTTTAATCAATAAATTAAACTATCTTGATATTAATGATTATATGTTTAATGATCTAACATACTGTAAATTTTATTAATCTTTTTTCTTCAGTTGCTTAAAATCTGCTTTAGTTTTATAATAATTTCCTTATTCATCATTCGATTATATTATCTAATTATTTAAGCCTAATACTTATCTATTTGACGTAAATATAGCTAAAAAATCATTGATAGAATTGGTAAATAGTTTTTAATGTTTAGCTAATTGTTTTCATTATTTTTTATGTTGATTTTTTTATATAAGATATTAATAGAAAGAGTCAGAAAATATGCATTATGATTAGTATAATAGAAATAATAATAAGTGTGTAAATTAATAAAAGAATAGTAAGTATTATATTCATTTTGAGTTTATCGCAATATTTTAAAATATGAAGTAAATTTAAGAAATAATCATCTTTTTCTATTGTTATAAATAAAAGAAATCTATTATTTTCTACAAGAAAAATGACTGAATTTTCATAGTATTTAATTAACAATAAAGAGAATTTTTACATTTTTTAATATTAAGAAAATATTGACATATTTTAGTATGATTTTTTAGCCATTATCAAATTATAATTGATTTATTAGTGTTTTTTGTATCATATTTAGAAAATATGATATTATTTAATAGAAAGATTTTTTAATCAATATAATATATTCTAATTAGTTTTTTAAAAATAAGATCATGATTCTAAAAGCATATAAAGTTTTACTAATGTAATATATATTCTTCATTACAAATTCTAAATCAACTACTTAACTTTAAAATTAAGATAAAAATCATACTTATTAATTAGCAATATTATTCTAATTAGCTTTTGAAAAAGCGTCATTATATTATACTCAACAGGATTATATAATAATTAGTCAGATATATGTATTCAAATAAAATGATAATCAAGATTGAATATACAAAATATTAAAAATATTCTAATGTAATATCAGAAACTCTATTAACTAAAAGAATCTAAATAGATTTAATCTGACTATTAATTTTTAGTATTCTATCAAAATAACTGTTTTTATCAATAAATTTAAATTATTTATATAGATATTAACTTTATGTTATTTTGATATTATGAATGTATGAAAATTAAAAATTAGCTATTATAAGATAAGTTATTTATATTAATAAATAAATAAACTAATAAAATAAATTTTTGCTGCATTTTAATTAAAAAATATAATTAGATAATATAGCTTATTCTTAAAGACTTTATTTATTTGAAAAGTTTTTCTAACTACAAGAATATTAAAAAAAATTTTAGTTTTATCATCTTGAAAAATAATAATAGAATAAATTAAAAATAAGATAACATATTGTTTTACTTCTTTTATAAAAGCAAAACAATAATGCTCATCAGTATATTTATTTTTTTCATCTTAAAAAACAGACATAATTATAATATTAGCCAGATAGTAATAAATCTTTGCTATTATAAAATTTGATTAAAATGGTAATAGATAATTATTAAAATAGTATGAGAAAGATACTCATTATATTTTAAATTGAGTTCTTCTTAATGATAATAGATATTCTAACTTTAATAACTTCTTTTTTTTTTATCTACAATTCTAAATTTAACATATTCATATATATATATTTATGTAAATCAGAATATTGAATTAAAATAAGTAAATAATCAAATGAATTATATTTTATTATTTTTGATTTTCTTATAAAAGTTTCATTTTTTTTTATTTTATATTGATAACTTATCTAATATTTTAATTTTTTTAATTTTACTATCTTTATTATACAAAATTTTCTTAACATTTATTATATGTTCTATTAGATTATATTAAATTTTTATATAATTAGTAAAATATAAAGATACTAAAGATCTGTAAATTTTATATTAGTTGTATTGATAGATTTATAGTTATTTTCTATGTAATATCATTAGAAAATGAATTGATATCAATTATAATAGTCTTTTTTATTAGCTTTTGAATAGCTTGAATAAACTTTGAACTTTGGAATAGGTCAGCTCATAAATGATTAGTTTGTAAAATCTTTAGATTAAAATTGACATTATCAAATATTTATAGATTTTATTTTTTAATTTCTTCTTGAAGTTTATGCTAAATCTCCTTTTATGTATTAACATATTCTATATATAGATTAATTTTTAGATAAATAAAATTTTTGTATTTACTATATATTAATAACCAAAAATATTATAAAACTTTTGAAATTGATTTGTATAAGTTTTATAAATGTAAAACTTTTGTATTTTGATATAGTTAGAAAAAATTGTATGATAATTTTGAATAAAGAAATCAAAAAATAATGATTAAAAATATGATAATACTATATTTATATATGTGACAAATATTTGATTATAATTGATAATAAGTTACATACATGCAGTTATAAAAGATATAATAGAATATGAATTAATATTATAAAGGTAATATTTTATTCATACATATTAATATAAAATTTATTATTTTATTAAATTATTTTAAACTGATACTAATTATATAACTGATCAATAAAATAAAAATTATAAGATAAGTCATTATCTATCTTATTAAATAATTTTATGATACTAATAATTTTAGGTATGAAATATCAAAAAATCTCTAATTTAGTAAATATATTAATAAAAATTAATATCACAAAGATAAATTAATTTTTTAACATAACAACTTTTAAGTTTATAATAATTAAATTATTCAGAATTCTTAAGAAAATAACTTGATCTTTAATACTATTTTTCAATAATATTTTTTTCTTATTGTAATTTATTATAAATGTAAAATATAATACTTAATAATAATTAACTAAAATAAAAATTTAATTAACATATAATATCTTAATCTTATTAGAAAAAAAAAAAAATTAGATCTATAGTAACCTATAATTATATCATATATGTAACTCACTTAATATTTATATAATTTATATTGTTATAGTTAGTTTTTTTAAATACTTATTTATTATAAACATTTAATATAAATAGAATTAAGTAAAAGATTAAATTATAATTAATTTTAAGAGATATATTAATATTAAATAATTTATTTTAATAAGGTTAATAAATGAGTATTACTTCAGTTAACACTTTATACTGTACAAATAATTTTATATTTAAAATTAAATGATTTAATTATAGATTATTTTTTTATTATAAAAAATTTTTATTCTATTTATATAAATTATTGATTTACGTTTTTACTAATAAAAAAATAAAGTATAACTAAAAAACTATAGAAATATTATTAACTTCATTAATAAATTAAACTAAATAAACTAAATTAATTATATTAACATAAGTAATATTGCTTGTCTAAACTTATTTTAGATTTAACAAAATGTTTAATTTTAGTTTTACTAATTTTACTAAAGTTTTGATATAGTTTCGCATTTTTATAAGCTTTGATATAGTTTTATCTTTTCTAGAATTTTGCAGATTTTTTAATAAAGTTTTAATATAATTTATTAAATATGACTTTTTTCTATTTAGATGATTTGCAAAAATTCTAGACTTTATTTAGAAATCTTAACATAAGAATTTTATTAATAAAATTATAATTGTTTCTATTATTTTAGCCATTTAATCATTAGGTTGCAGTTAAGAAATTATAACTTCTTTTAATAATAATCTATAAAATTATCTATTATTTCTTCTACTTAAAATATCTTATTAATTATTAATCTTAAAAATATTTTAATTCTTTATTAAAATTAAATATATAACTTTAAGCATTTTATTTTTTATAAAAAAAATAAATAAATATTATTAATATAATTTAGTAAATCAATTATAAAATCATTTATTTTATTTAATATAAAATATTTAAAGTTTAATTTTAAAATTAATTTTAAAAAATAAATAATTTTAAATTTATTATAGTAG